TTTAATGGGATAAGAAATAAAGAAAGCTCATAAGCATTCCAAAAAAAGGAAATAAAACTGTTTTAAAGTGAAAAAAATAACGTGGAGAACCAATTCACCTAAAATATTCTCAAAATTCATAAAAACACAATTAATTACACCTAATTTTATGTCAATTTCAATCAAATTCAAATCGATTTCTCAAAAACACATTCAAATTTCACTCAATTTCATCATTTCATGTCATTTTCAATGAAATTCAATTTAAATTCAAACAATTTTAACTCAATTTTACCTAAAATACTCTCACTCTCAAAAATATACATTTATTTTCACCCAATTTGACACTAAATAACAACAGAAACTAAAAATATAGATTTAAATTGCATGCACAAATATAAGGAAAAAAAATCTTGAAACTGAGGATTTGGGGGCGAGGCTATCGGCTGCTCAACACGGTGGGTTGGCGTCGAGGAGGACAACACAAGGTGGCGGCCGACGGGGTGGCACGGCGTCTCGAGCCGCTTCGACTTGCGTGCATTTGGAGTCGTGTTGGAAGCAAGCTGAGGCCTGACACTAGAAGGCAAGAAAGTGGACAACATGGGTGGCCCGGAGGGTGTGTAAAGTGGTCAACCGCACATGGCCTCTTAAAATTTAGGGCACCATATTTTTAAATTTGTTAATAATTTTAAAGTAAAAGTATTCTAAAAATATAAAATAGGGCACAAAATGTAAATTTTATTCTTTCATTTCGGGGCCGGCCCTAGTGGACAACGTCTAGGGATGGGGCAGTGAGGTCGAGTTTACGCGACGAAACGGGGAGGAAGGCCTAGAAGCGGTAGGCGCAAACGCAAGCTGTTGTGGTCTGGTCTGTGGATGCATACATCAAACGATAAAAGATACGGGTTTCAAAATTATTTACTCGCTATGACGGAGCCTGTTAAAAAATATATTTCATTGCCGATTTGAGTGATGCAAATAAGACAACTTTTAGGGTGTAGCATTTGTGAAAGAACTCCACACTCCGTGGGAAATCTACGATGGAGAAAACTTGTACGTCGTAGATACGTAACACGTTTTCAGCGATGTAATATCTATCATAGAGTTGTGGCAAATCTACGACGGAATGAGGTTTGTTGCACATATCTGTAGCAAATCTGGCATATTCTTGTAATGCAAGTGGGTGGAATTAGGGTTTAGTATGCGTGTATTGTAAGATTTGTGGAAATTTGTTGAGGTTAGTCCTGTGGTTCAACTAAAATTATTTTTTGTTTGGATTTGTGATTATCTATTTTTTAACAAGTCTGGTACACACCGGTGTAGTATATGTTCAATCTAGTAATCTCAATCTCTTAAACGTAAGAGTAAGTCTCGAACACTACATGCAAAGAAGCTTGAGGTAGCTTTTTTGTCTCTACGCCAACAAGCTTCTACATCTATTGTTGGTTTAAGAGATATCAAATGTGGAAGTCACCTCAGATTTCACCACATTTAGTATCCGAGCCCCACCCTCTACGCTTAAGAAGTTGAGATTATATGATTGAAACACCGATGAGTATGGGAGCTACTAAAAAGTCAAAAAAGTAATTGTCATTAGATCATTTTCAAAAGAGCAATGTATCATTTTTTTTGAGCATTTTCATCTCTTAAATAAAAACTCACTTGCACAATCATTTTCTCAAATAGATATCATCCTTACATCATCTATCTTTAAATACCTTACTTTTTAAACAAGGATTCAGAATTCATTTCATCCATCTATCTTTGTAATTGTTGGCGACAGAAGAAGGAAGCCGGATCAAAGAAGGAAGCATGAATCCCTTTAGGATTCGGTTTAGTATCTTTCCTAGTTTGCTTAGTTCTTGTTATAGTATGAATAGAAATATGGTAGGAATAAAAATTTACTTATATGCTTTACTCTCTTCCTATATAAAGAGGGTTAGACCTTTGTATTCACAAAACCAATTCAATATACAGGGAATTTCCTCCCAAATCATTTTCTACATGGTATCGGAGCAAGTTTTGAATTCTTGAGACCTCAAACACGCTTCTTCCCCTGCCGGTGGGCATACAAAATTCAATGCCTACCGGCGGGATATTGTAATTTTTGATTTTCTTTGATTGTTCTCCCTCACTAAAGAATATCATGAACTCCTTTGACGAAAAACATTGCTGTCGAGGAATCCCGCCCAACCATCAATCTTGAAGAAGTTGTCCGAGAATGGTTGTTTTACAGAGACAGACAACTCTTTCCTTAGCAGGCAATAAAAAAAAGTCGGCGTTCAGGGTGTTCGAAAAGAATGGCGTTCCCCCTGTTTGTTCGAATACGGTGAAGGTTCGAAAAGAATGACGTTCCTTTACTCGACTGATTATTCGGCGGATTCAAAAAGCTTGGCGTCTCCGTTGAAGAAAAAAACTGAAGTGTCTAGATGACACTTGGACAACGATGACAGCGGCTTCCTCAAGCTTTGTTGCTTTGTTCAATCTTTTGATATCCAAGCTGGGCATGTTGAACTCCCATGCTCCAGCTTGAGGGGGGGTGTTGGCGACAGAAGAAGGAAGCCGGATCAAAGAAGGAAACATGAATCCCTTTAGGATTCGGTTTAGTATCTTTCCTAGTTTGCTTAGTTCTTGTTATAGTAGGAATAGAAATATGGTAGGAATAAAAATTTACTTAAATGCTTTACTCTCTTCCTATATAAAGAAGTTAGACCTTTGTAAGCACGAGCCAATTCAATATACAAAATATTTTTCCTCTTATTAATTTCTACATGGTATCAGAGCAAGTTTAGAATTCTTGAGACCTCAAACACGCTTCTTCCCCTGCCGGTGGGCATACAAAATAATAGGGATATCAAATCATTTGTATTCACAAAACCAATTCAATATACAGGGAATTTCCTCCCAAATCATTTTCTACAGTAATTAATTATTTGTTAATTGAGAATATATAATGCTAGGTGATGAATACCCTTTAGTGGGGTATCTGGTCCAACATAATAAGCGGCCCAGCAAGGTCCATCTAATCGAATGATCTGGACACACTCGGCAAAGTTAAGGGACCCCGCTCGTCTAAGCAAGACTTAAGAAGAAGCCAAGACCTTAAGGTGACCACCGTACTCAGACGTGTATCCTTGCTCAACTCGGATACATCCACTTAGACTCGGGGTGGACCCGGTCGAACACTCCATGGTTGGCCTCCAACAACTGATCGTGCGCACTTGGCCTTTGCCGCCAAGTAAGCACTATGGGCCCACTGCGAGATGGGAGCCTATGTGCACGATTGGTTGTAGACATCCTATTGTCTCTACATTAGTTGTAGCCACACTAGTTCGTGATCATATTTCTCACAACGTCGATTAAAAGGCTTGACCTCATAACTCATAAGTTTTTTAAGATCAAAATAAGAGTTCACACTGTCATTGTTACACTGTCACTCATCACACTGTCACATTAATTATAACTACCACACCAGGTACCACTGCCACACTGTCATTCGTCGCTAACGGCTGAGTGATCGATCACACTCACATATTACACTGTCATCATTTTTTTATCACATTGCCAACACGTACTCTTACACTACACTGCCATTATACTCCTATTTTACTCTTAAAAGACTTATGACTCCTATTTTTATATTTTCATACTTTTTTACTCTTATTCGGGTAGATTTCTTTATTATTTAACCGACATGCCTCCATATTTTCTTATATGACTTATTAAATTTTTAGAGTAAAATAAAATATGATGTAGTTATTTTATTTTAAAAAATGTTTAAAATAGATAAATAGACAAATAAATAAATATGATGTAGAGAGTACAAATTAACCGTGTAAACAAGTAAAATTTATTTAGATAGAAAAGGTGGGATGCGTACTCCGGACATCCCCACATTCCGGCTTGACAATGTAATGAGAAAGTAAATCATTGTATAGTCTTAATTGAGTTTCTTAAGAGATTGTCATGTGTGTGACGAACACATTAAACTATTATATTGGATACAAATCTCACATTCCCGCTACTAGAAATCAATACACCTCAGACTCAACATACCTCCCCCCTGCCATTTAAGATACTACAAGTTTTTCTAGAAACAGAAGCTGGTGGGCGTAACATAATTGGCAAGGCAAAGGATGCAAAGAGGATAATACTGAGTTCGAATCTTGAAAACTGCAATAGAAAGCAACTATGCTAAACATAGTACCATTGTAAGTACAAGTGCAAGATCCACCATTTGTCGGCCAATTTATGAATAAAACTTAATTTACCTCATCTTATGTAACTATTCCATTCTAATAGGGCCCTTGAGATGGGGCTAATCATTATTTATATGATTGAGCAAAAGGTTGAACATGGTTGTACACTAGACCCTAATGGTGTTGGTATCGATATCAAACGAGACGAAACCATGATATACAAATTTAAAACCGACTATTACGGAGCAAATCGCTGAAATCTATTTGCGGAAAATACTTATTTATCTATTTCATCTTACCATATATATATAGTTATTCATGATGTATTATTCTTTATTATTATTATTGTTGTTGTTGTTATTAATAGTTCGATAGTGTATGGATTCAAAAAATTATTATTTTGAAATTTAGAATCTTTATCTTTTATAGTATTATATTTATGATCTTTTTAAAATAGAAGTAATTACATTTTTAACAAATTTATGCTTTTTATATAAAATTGTGCTTCTGTTATATTATTACTTGAAATATGAATGTTTAACTTTTTGACACGATTTGAGCTGGGTTTGATATTGTACCGCTCTGTTTCAAAATAAACTGATAGTGAATTCCTTTGCTATTAATCTTGTATTGATACCGACTTTTTAAATAAGAGTAGTTCGTGATAAATTACGGCACCAGCATGCCCATCAGCCCATGTTGCCACACCTACTTAATTAGAAATGGAGGAGGGAAGTAGTTGAGACGAACGGCGAGCGGAGCTGCCACGTGACACCCTCGGCGTTTAAGATTACTACCAACCACTTCCTGAGACCATTAATTACCACTTTTATTTACCTTTCTACCACCTTTATTTATTTATACATCAAGATTCAAGACACAAATTTCTGCTGAGTTCCTTGGAAAAAAAACATAAAAACAAGACAGTAAAAACACAGGGAAATGGCAGCAGCAGTGTCGACCTTAACGGCTCTGGCGGAGGAGACGGCGCTGCGGGAGAGTTTCATCCGAGACGAAGACGAGCGACCCAAAGTGGGATACAACCAGTTCAGCGACGAAATCCCGATTATATCCCTGAAGGGCATCGACGACGGCGGCGCGAATGGCGGGGGACGGCGGGCGGAAATCTGCGGAGAAATAGTGAAGGCGTGTGAAGACTGGGGGATCTTTCAGGTGGTGGATCACGGCGTGGACGCCGCCTTGGTCGCCGAAATGACCCGCCTCGCCCGGGACTTCTTCTCCTTGCCGGCTGAGGAAAAGCTCCGTTTTGATATGTCCGGCGGCAAGAAGGGCGGCTTCATCGTCTCCAGCCATCTTCAGGTGTGCTCGCAACCTCGATCTGTGTCTATTAAACACTGATTGATTATATAATTATCATTTCTTTTCTTCCTATCAAATGACAGAAGAGGAATTTACTTAAATAGTATTAAAACATAATGACTTTCCCTAAATAGCACTGCATATACTTTTTTTTCCAATGTAGCACTTTTAGTCATTATGCATTACTCATTATTCAAAATGTTTGGCATCACTGATCATTATAAACATTACTCCGTATTAAGTGCTCTTTAGGGAATAAAACTATTTAAGTATTATTTAGAGAAATGACTAAGTTTTAGTGCTATTTAGTACAAATATTTCATACTCCCTAAGAGAAACAGAATATATGGTTGAAAAATAATTTTCCTTGGACTTCATTTTATACTTAGGAAATATTTTTCTAAGAAAATGTTTTCCCAGACACCAGTCAAAATACTCGGACTACATTTTTGGCTTGCTTAGTATAAAATCATTAAAATGAAAGAACTCTCTAAATAAAGTAGAAATGAGAGTATTCAATACTCAATAAAGTAGAAATAAGAGTATTAAATAAGAGTATTAAATAAGAGTCTACACTATAATTGTTTCACTTCACACAAACAGCCTCCAAAAATAAAAGTATGCCATTCAGTTCAAAAAGCTCAAGGTATTCAATACTCTTATTTTGGTATTTTTGTTTAATTTTACTCCTATTCATTCAAGAGGATTTCTTATTTGGATTTGAAAGATGAAAAGAATAAATGAAGGTTTCTACTTTTCTATTGTGAACCTAATGAATTTTTAAAATATATATCACATAAATATTTATCTCAATATTATGAAAATGTTCATACAAAGTAATTGAGAAATTTTTTAAATTATTAGGTGGAACTCAAATCCACCAAAAAATTTATCAAAACAAGAGTGTAGTGGTAATACTCACTATATGTATGGTTTGAATTTGAAGGGTGAAGTTGTGAAAGATTGGCGCGAAATAGTGACATATTTCTCATACCCTGAGAGGGAGAGGGACTACTCGAGGTGGCCGGACAAGCCAGAGGGATGGAGGGCAGTTACGGCAAAATACAGCGAAAAGTTGATGGACTTGGCCTGCAAACTGCTAGAGGTTCTATCAGAGGCGATGGGGTTGGAGAAAGACGCCCTGACGGAAGCATGCCTGGAAATGGACCAAAAACTGGTGGTGAACTTCTACCCGAAATGCCCCCAGCCCGACCTGACCCTGGGGCTGAAGCGCCACACTGACCCTGGGACCATCACCCTTCTCCTCCAGGATCAGGTCGGCGGTCTTCAAGCCACCAAGGACGGTGGCAAGAATTGGATCACCGTCCAGCCTGTGGACGGTGCTTTTGTTGTCAATCTTGGTGACCATGGCCATGTAAGTTCTCTTCTTCACCATCACCACTTGTTACTCTATATAAAAACTAGGGGTGTAAACGGATATTAATCGAATCGGATGTACCATTACCAAATCCGTATCCGTTCATTTTAAAACCGTATCCGCATATTTTAAAATCAAATTAAACAATAATTTAATTCTAAATTAGATTAAACTCAAACTATTATTAAATCAACTATAATTTGTTATGGGTTAATTATTTTCTTTATTTTCATGATCTATGATATTTTACAATTACTTCATATGATAAAAAGATATACACAACACACATATACACATATTTTTATATGTTTGAACCTATTTTTATGTGGCTACACATTTATTTTGTATATAAAAAATGTTTTATACTTTGAAATATTAATAGAGAAACAAAATATAAAAATAAAAAATTAGAAAAAACTATATATAACGGATCGGATATTCGGATAAACGGTTATTTAAGCGGATGCATATTCGGATCGGATTTTAAATGGATCGGATATGCAATTACCAAATCCGTATCCGTTTAGTAATCGGATACAGATAATATCAATTTAAAGCAGATGCGTATATTTTCTTTTTAAATGGATAGGGATGTGGACAGCTCTAATAAAAATTGTCAAAAGCCAAAACTGAACAAATACTCAAATATGGAGTGAGTATACTAACAGTTTTGTTCAAGCTTGTGATTGCAAAACCACGAAAGAATTTATATTCTAACAGTTTTGTTCGAATGGTTGGAATTGGCTAGTATTTGAGCAACGGGAGGTTCAAGAACGCGGATCATCAGGCGGTGGTGAACGCGAACAGCAGCCGTCTGTCCATAGCGACGTTCCAGAATCCGGCGCCGGAGGCAAAGGTGTACCCTCTAAAGGCGAGGGAGGGGGAGAAGCCGATTCTCGAAGAGCCCATAACCTTTGCGGAGATGTACCGGAGGAAGATGGGGAAGGATATCGAGCTTGCCAGGCTCAAGAAGTTGGCCAAGGAGCAGCAGCAGGTTCTTGACGACGCCAAACACTTGGAGGCTAAACCCATTGGTCAAATTCTTGCTTGATTGGTTTTTTTTTGCACAGATGGATATTGATTTTGGCCTTGGGGGGTTTTCTTTATTAGTACTATTTGAATAAGAACAATGCCATCATTTTTTTTGTTTTTTCTTTGATTTATTTGTGTTCTCATGCATGTAAACTGCTCCATCTAATAATGTTGTTGTTGTTATGCTGTTCTGATGTGAACTATGTATGTTGGATTATATTGTTGTTCAACTGCAAATTGGGAATGTGTGTTCAAAGATGGATGCCAAGTCAAAGGTAAAATGGTTGGATATGTTTAAGATTCAACCACTTAGAAAAAAAGAATTTTCCTAAGATGTTTTCATTAGGCAAGATGACTTTAGAGGAATTAAAAGCCAAAAATGTTAAGAATCAGTGTGAGTGTTTTCACGGATGACAATTATTTATACATATATGAGCGAGTATCGCATGTAAACGTAAACATAAATGATTATCATTTGTACTCTATATGTTTATTTGTGATTGTCTATATCTGAGGATACCTTGGTGAAAATCCATTAAAAAAATTATTTTTTGAAATTTTGTGTCAAATCTCTTTTGGGACATTACAAAAATGATGATGTGTTCCATGTGTAATCTTAAGCTTCTGGCATACTAAAATTAGAGAATTAGTTATAGGATGACCGAAGAGATTAAAAAAAGAATACCCGTAAATGTGAAAACCAGCGCTCCATCATCTTCTTCCATAAATCTTCTTCCAAACATCTTCCAAGTTCCAACCCCAACCAACCACCACATTATCCCTTCTTCCCGCCCCAATTTTTCCATTCTCCCATCGTTTTATTGCATCCTAATCCCCCCTCTGTTTCCCGCTCCATGAACGAACTCTCCCTGCCCTTCTTTTAAAAAAGAAATCCAGGCATCTGATTGTTCGTGATGTTTTCTTGAATTATCCGGCAGTTCTGGATCTTCTGATCCCTCAAGGGATTTGAAGACAATCCCCGGATTTTCTGCACGATTGGGGAAATGGGTATCTGTTTCTCGACCAAAAAAGGCGGCGGCTCCCATAACAATAACCCCTCCGCCACCAATGCGGCGGTGAACGTCCGCAAGGCAACCTCGAAGCCGCCGTCCGCAACCAGGGCCACGTCGAGGAAGCAGGAAGTGTCGCACGTTTTCCAATTTCATCACAGGACAAGCAATAACAAAGGGCATGTGTATCAACAACCGCCTAGGAATTCAAGTTCCAGGAGACAAAAGAGTGGGGTTATTCCTTATGGGAAAAGAACAAATTTTGGGTATGATAAGAATTTCGATAAGAGGTATGCCCTTGGGAAGCTGTTGGGACATGGTCAGTTTGGGTATACCTATGTGGCCACCGACCGGTCGACTGGCGATCGTGTTGCTGTTAAGAAAATTGAGAAGAATAAGGTGTTGATGTTCTATCCTTAATGCGTTGGTTTCCTTGTTGGTTTTATTTGATCTCCCAATCCTTATACTGATAGTTATCGAAATTGAGATTTCTCTTCTCTTCTGTGGAATTTTGAATCAATCTTCACCGTTTTTCGAATGTTGTGTTGGGAAACAAACCCAACTCCCACACTGAAAATTTGAAGAAATGAGACCAATATATAAGTGATCACCTAACTCCGTTAGTATGAGACCTTTTGATGGGTGTTAAAAAAACTCTTAGAGCTCGATCCAAAGTGAACAATATCATACTGTTTTCTTTATGTGCTACAAGTGATCATTTTTTTAATTGGGAGTTAGAATTGTGGCTTCTAATATCTCGCCGAAGAGTTACATTCTTACATAGTGATAGGTTACTCACATTCATAGTGATAAGTTTGTGGTTGCAATTATATTATCTTAATGTTAATGTATTGATTTATGATAGATGATACTTCCGATCGCGGTTGAGGATGTGAAGCGAGAAGTCAAAATATTGAAGGCTTTAACCGGTCACGAGAACGTGGTTCATTTCCATAATGCATTTGAGGATGAGAATTACGTGTATATCGCCATGGAGTATGTTACCCTTTCTTGGACCAATTCTTTTCCCCCATTAATAGTCGCATCACATTGTTTTATTCTTAAAACACAATCTTTTAGGTTATGTGAAGGTGGAGAGCTACTGGACCGTATATTGGCCAAGTATGTGTCTTCAACTCTCAGCACACGAATTTTCGGTCAAACATAATCAAACCCTTTATATAAAATATAGTTCTGTGTATATGTATATATAATATTCAGGAAGGATAGCCGGTATAGTGAAAAGGACGCTGCAATAGTTGTAAGACAGATGCTAAAAGTTGCAGCTAAGTGTCATTTACATGGTATGGTGCATCGAGATATGAAACCAGAGAATTTTCTTTTCAAATCAACCAAACAGGATTCTCCATTGAAGGCAACTGATTTTGGTCTTTCGGACTTCATAAGGCCAGGTGATTAGAGGATGGTTTCATGCGCTCCATAGTGTTTTTGTGTGAGATGAGCTCTTATATTTATCATTGTAACACTCTTTTGATCTAGAAAACAGTAAGATTCAAATTGGTTAGCGAAAATGACTTCCTCTTTTCAGAAGAGAAACCGTTTTCCACAAGAGCTCATAAAATCATGGAAAACCAAGAAAAGATTTTGAAGGAAAATATTTTTCAAGAAACAGATGTAGTCCAAGGGTTTCAATCATACAAGATCTAGTTGTGCAATCAAAAGGTGAACTTCATGTTAGGCTCAATATTTTAGAGAGAGAACGCATAATTTCATGGTAATAAGGCTATATAATGATGATTTCAGAGTATGTATAGTTACAGAGAGATAACACACTATAAAATAGCTACACCGAGAATATTTAACAATATATAGATCAGGCTCCTCAACCTAACACTTCGTACGGGGTAATAATATAGGAAAGAAATTTCAAGATATTGTGGGTAGTGCATATTATGTCGCTCCAGAGGTGTTAAAGCGCAGATCAGGCCCCGAGTCAGATGTTTGGAGCATTGGTGTAATAACCTACATTTTGCTTTGTGGCCGGCGTCCTTTTTGGGACAAAACTGAAGATGGCATTTTCAAGGAGGTGATTAGTTATCCCAATGGTGACCTTTTTGCTTATCTTCACCAAACCACTCTTTTTTTCTTTCTGTTTCATTGTATACATTCTTTAATAATCTATGCTTGCAATAGGTGCTAAGAAACAAGCCGGATTTTCGGCACAAACCATGGCCAAGCATAAGCACCGGTGCAAAGGATTTTGTCAAGAAATTATTAGTGAAGGATCCTCTTGCTAGACTCACTGCTGCTCAAGCCTTATGTAAGTTCCTTTTAAGGGAATTATTAATTGCTCTGTATAATATATTGCTAAGTCTGATGATGGGTTTTCTGGTAAATAATAATAAAAATAGCACATCCGTGGGTACGAGAAGGAGGGAGTGCAACAGACATCCCTCTCGACATTTCTGTTCTGGCCAACATGCGTCAATTTGTTAAATACAGTCGTCTAAAGCAGATTGCTTTGAGGGTAAGTTTGTAATTCTGCAACTTTGAAATCTCCATTTTTTTAAAACCATTGCAAAGCTGTGTTTTACTGAGTGTAAATATGTTTACAGGCATTAGCTACCACACTTGATCAAGAGGAGTTGGCTGTTCTCAAAGATCAATTTGAGGCTATTGATGTGGATAAGAATGGTGTCATTACCCTTGAAGAAATGAGACAGGTCTTTCCTTCTTTTAGTACTCCGTATTTCTTAACACAGCCCAAAAGGGCTATCAACCTGAACGGTATAATGATTAATTACGTGCTGTTTGTTTGGGGAAAAAAATTATAATAATGCAGGCGCTTGCTAAAGATATTCCATGGAAAATGAAGGACTCGCGCGTTCTTGAGATTCTTCAAGCGGTATGCACGATCATCATTTGATTGATAGGGCATGAAATCATTCATGAGTTGGGTTTTCTTAACGATTACTTGGCTTCTGTGTTTGGGTTGCTGGCAGATAGACAGCAACACAGACGGGCTCGTAGATTTTGAAGAGTTTGTTGCAGCCACTCTACATGTGAATCAGATGGAGGAACACAATTCCGAGAAATGGCACCAGAGATCACAAACTGCTTTTGAGAAATTCGATGTCGACAGAGATGGCTTTATCACTCCCCAAGAACTCCAAATGGTACGGGTTTCTTTTTTTTATCTCCCCCTTTTCTTTTGTAGCATATCGAGGGATCGGATACTAATGTGGTGGCGGTGGTGGTGGTGGTGCAGCACACGGGGTTAAAAGGGTCCATAAACCCGCTTCTGGAAGAAGCAGACATCGATAGAGATGGGAAGATAAGCTTATCAGAGTTCAGAAAGCTCTTAAGAAATGCAAGTATGGATTCTTCCAGGTCTTATTCTGTAAGGCATAGGCACTATCATTAGATTCAAGTTGTAATCAGGTAAAGTAATTGTGTGTGTGTGTGTGTGTTAAATCGGTACAGAGCATATTATTTATTATTGTATATAGTTAATCCCTCTCAGGCTCTCACTCGTTGAGATTTTTGTTGAACAGATACTACATTGTAATAGACTCAATAATACTAAAAAAGAGGTTTGGTGTCTTCACTTACTTAGAGGTTTGGTATTATTGATTTTTTTTTGCACGCATTGTTCATTACTGTCCCGATGAATATTTGTAACTATACGACTGTGATTACGTTGTGTTACTCGCTCTGTCTCAATTCAAATCGCATATTTCGATTTATGATGTTTGATTAAAGTTATTTTTAAATAAATTTACATGAAAAATGGTGTAGAATTAAAAATAAAAATTATAAATTTAGAAACTAGATTATAAAATTTACAAAGTATAAAATTAGTCGTGACATGCTTTTTTTAAAATGCTCATTTTGAGATGTTGGATGTATAATGATCAAGGTACATGTGGATGCATAGTGTTCTCAATCTCACAATTTCATTTAAAAAATAAAAAAAAGATAAATAAAAAGGATATAATTTAAATTTATTTACTCCGTAAAAAAAAAGAAATATTGTGGGTCATGCTGTTCTTTTCCCAGAAAAATATCAGAACAATGTACCCCGTCTCCAAATGTATATGACTAGCATGACTTTTTCAATCACACAAAAGATTTGATTATTAATTAAATAAAATTATTTATTACATTGTATATATAATGAAATACTTTTTGATTTTTTTTTTGTAAAGCAAATCTTATGATAACATTTTATAAATATGTAATGTACTCGGTAGTTTTTATTTAGAAATAATTGTTTGTTAAAAGAAGGCATAAAAAAATATTGGCATGGTGCCAAGAAAACCCTTCAAATTTCTAGTACACTTCCGAAATTGAGAGCTACTAAAAAATTACTCCATAATAATTAAAGAATAAGTCTAAAATGGCACCAGTGTTATTTGCTTACGCCAGTTAGTTTGGGATATTACAGTGCCGTAGGTACACTAAACTAATCGGGGCTCGTAAATACACCAAACTAATAACTGGTGTAAGTAATTGGTGTCATTTTAGACGCTCTCATCATTAAAATTTGTGCATTTGAATTAGAAAAATAAGAATAAAATTATTTATGGAAGACTTAGCAGAAGAAAGGGAAAAACAGGAGTTTTGCGAGGACAGGAAATTCGTGGGAGATGAAAGAAGAATGAAGATAGTGACGTACAACGTGAACGGCCTCAGGCCTCGAATCTCACAGTTCGGTTCTCTTCCCAACCTCCTCAATTCTCTCGACGCCGATATCATCTGCTTTCAGGAGACGAAGCTTTCGAGGCCAGACCTTCGGGCGGATTTGGTTAGGGCTGATGGCTACGAATCATTCTTCACCTGTACTCGAACTTCCCACAAAGGCCGATCCGCCGGCTATTCCGGTTCGTTTTCGCCTCCGTTCTAATTACCTGCACATTTTCCCTGTGTTTCTTTCCATTTCTTCATCTCTACATTGTATCAAATGTGGTTTTGCTCCTTGAAAATCCTTGTTTATGTGATTATCTATATTCTGGATTGAGTAATTCGTAATAAATGGTTTTCTGATGGAGACGTGGAAATTAAAAACTGAGTTTGTTTCTTAGGTATTGCTACATTTTGCCGTGTGAAGTCTGCGATTTCTAGCAATGAAGTAGCATTACCCATTGCCGCGGAGGAGGGATTTACAGGACTTCTTCGGGATTCTCAAGGACATCGGTCCAGAAAGGATGACTGTTCTTTGATAGCAGAAGGGCTTGAGGGATTTTCTAGGGACGAACTTCTCGAAGTTGATTGCGAGGGGCGTTGTATAATCACAGACCATGGCCATTTTCGTGAGTGCCGATCATTGATATGTAAAGCTTTTTTTCATCTTATATAGTAGCATTTCAATTGGATATACTCTACCCGTCATCTACTTTGAAAGTGCCGATCTTTTACCATTTGAACATCTTGCTGCATTTTCACAACTATCCTCACTTTGTATTGGAACTTATTTATTGCTTAGTAATAGTTACTTGTTTGGAATTGGCAGTTCTATTCAACATATATGGTCCCAGGGCCGCTTCAGATGATTCTGAAAGGATCCAATTTAAGCTCATGTTTTTCAAAATATTAGAGGTGGTTGAAACTTACTTGAGGAATTGGATTCTCGTTCCCTAGAATTTGAATTATGCAGCTTTTGACTATCTACTCTTTTTTAATACCAATGTGTTTAGAGAAGATGGGATTGTCTACTACGCCAAGGACGGAGGATTATTGTTGTTGGGGATCTTAACATTTCTCCTGCTTGCATTGATTGCTGTGATGCATCGCCTGACTTTGAGAAAAACGAGTGAGATTCTATTTTAGTTTTGTGTCCATCTAGTTTATTGATTTTGTTCTCAATGTAAATTTTAGTTCTATTTGAAATCAGGTTTAGAAGATGGTTTAGATCTTTATTAGTGCAGAGTGGTGGGCATTTCTTGGACGTCTTCAGATCAAAATTTCCTGATAGGTTGGTAAGTCACTCTTTTATCTTTGGTTTTTTTAAAGTAATTTTCCGGTGTACTTCAAGTGATTATACACTGGCCAGCCTGTCCTTTAGTTCACTTCAAGTGGTCTATTGTTTTGGGATGTTTTCGCAGAAGAGAAGCCTATACATGTTGGTCAACTAGTACTGGTGCTGCAGAATTTAACTATGGGACAAGGATTGACCATATTCTTAGTGCAGGGTCATGCTTACATGAAGATCATGATCTAGAAGGCCATGACTTTGTCACATGTCATATTCAAGAGTGTGACATACTGGTGCAATACCAAAGGTGGAAACCAGGAAATACACCAAGGTAAATTTGTAGTTTATGTCTGTAGCATGGTATGCTAAAAAAGTTTCTAACTTTGATAAGATCGCTTGTGTGTAATTTTTTAAACAGGAGGGGGTCGAAGTGAAATCAGAATCAACTAAAAGTACATTTATTCTGAGAAGAAGCAATATCTCTAGTTACACTATTTTGTATTTGCAGATGGAAAGGAGAGAGGAATATCAAGTTAGAAGGCTCAGACCATGTTCCTGTTTATGCCACATTAATGGGACTCCCAGAGGTGTCACAGCATAGCACTCCCTCATTATCTACCAGATACCATCCTCAGGTCTCTGGGTATCAGCAAACTCTCGGTGTGCATTTTTTGTCACCTCCATTGTGAGCAAATTTAATTACTTTTTTCTCTTACCCAAAATTGCCACTTTGACATGATTTGTGACTCCAATTACTCAGTTCAATAATACATTACCCCGTACAATTTTTTGTGTTCCCGATGTGAGATGACTACGTTGTAATCCATGAAAAATAAAGCATTTTAGTTTGAGCTGGGACTATAAGGTCACAGGCTCACAGCTACATGAACCCAAAACATTATAGATTCATCCCTTGCTTATTTACTTTCTATAGAGTAATCCCCCTGTGGGACACTTTGTACATGTACTCTATGGTCTATAGCACAATTTCTTAGTTTATTACTTCTAAGTTACTGTAATCTGTCAAATCTGTATAGTAGTCAGTGTAGTATGATATTCAGTTTAATTTATGTATCTAATTTCGGACTCTGCTTTGTATATGCAGTATCAATGTTATCGAGGAGGGAATCATTAAATCAAATTAGTATTGACGGTGGATCAACTTCATCATCGGACAAAAGTGTTACTGATACAAACACGATTCACGATAGTCATTCAAGATTTGAGAGCACTCAGAGCAGCAATAAAAAAGCAAGACACAGTCGGAGGTCGCAGCTTACGCTCAAGTCTTTTTTCCAGAAAGTTCCGAGTGGGATTTTAGATGGCAAGAGTATGAGCGGACATTACAACTCTAATTCCCTTCCAAATGCTACTGAAAGTAGTAAGTCTGTGGAATGGAATTTGAATGAGAGTGAATCTACTCAAGAGGAAGGTCTGCTTGAAGTATGTAGCACTCTAGATGATGAAACGAAGAGGAGTGATGCATCAGAGGAGTGGCAGAGGATCCGACAATTCATGCAGAACAGTGTGCCGATTTGCAAGGGCCATAAGGAGCCTTGTGTTTCTAGGCTTGTTAAGAAAGCAGGCTCAAATCTAGGACGTAGGTTTTATGTCTGCGCCCGTGCTGAGGTATGCTCATTTATGGCCAGTGTGTAGCTCCTACATTTCTATACTTGCATTATTAATGCTCCGTTTGGTAATCGTATTTGGCTTAATTTGTTTATCCGCATAATAATTAGTTTTTACATATTTAGCAAAAAGAGATGTTACCAAACATGATTCCTTAAAGAAAAATCAGCAGATTCAGTCATTTGAGCTAAATTGCACTTACCAAATTGTCCCTGAATATCTTAGGAACATCTTACATGGGAGTGGGATATTTGGAAGTCTTGGACTGGAATTAAAAAATGCTGAGCACTGAACATTCTCTCCACCTGTTACACCTGCAACTCTATACCTTTTTGGATGCTCAATTAAGAATGAATAGAAATGCAGCATTAGATGTAAATTCAAGTGGTTTATATTATGTGCAAGCCATTTTTATCCTTTACTATTCTTAAAACATTGTGGTAGGGACCAACATCCAATCCTGAAGCAAACTGTGGTTACTTTAAGTGGGCATCTTCAAAACCCAAAGGCAAAAGCTAGTAGTAACCGTTTCCATCTTGACACACAAGAGTCTAAGGAAGGCTTCTAACAAAATTGTCTTTCAGGTCAGCAAATTTTAGAAATCTTCTGTGCTATACCGAATTTCATGATTGCTTTCATAATTATTCAAAAAGTGTTTCTTTTAGAGAAACGCCTGAGCTTGATGTATCCAATGAGTGTTTTGTTCTCCACCTAAAGAAAGTTCTAATGAAACTCGTGGGATGCTAAGATCTATGAATCTCACCACCCAGACCCTGTACAGAGCTTGTTCTTTAAGAGCTCGCATGAAGGCTTTTGAGGATTATTTTGAAAAATCTATATACCCGTAGTGTTCAAAATTGATATCCTTAGCTTTTGGTTTTCTAATTCCTTGGTTTTTGAATTGTAGAAGCATGTGACCATATTGTTTAGACTTTAGGGTTATGGTGATGCTGTTGAGTTTGTAAGTTTATTACTGTGCTGTTCATCAGTGTAATACCCACTATTTCTGTTCATTAGGGTAACTCCTAATAAGGAAGGGTCTAATTTGTTTTTTACCATGCTAGGGGTACCTACCTTTCACCCCACCTGCTAACAGATGCCATTATTGTTTTATGTCTCTAAGAAAATTGGAGTTAAAGGTGGGGTTAGAGTTGGGTTGACTTTGGCATTTCTTGTTATCGACATAATCAATTGAGACTGGATACGCTAATGAAAATTCCAAAAGGGTGCCATTTGGAACAAGTAGTGAGAGTTGAACTTTCCTTTCATTGTTGATGACTAATAATTTCTCATTATACTGTATAAGCAATTCTTTGGAAGTGCTTTTATAGGTCCTCCGAGATGGATTAGGGTTCAATAATTGTACCCGCTGTTTTCTGATACAGACTTTCACAAATTTGTTTAGGCTAAGGGTGGACGCTTGTACAGTTCGGATACTGCCAACCCATAGCACTGTTACCGGTGCCGGTTCCAGAACCGGCGGTTCCGGAACCGGCCGGTTTGGTGGTTTCCTTTTTTTTTGTACTCCCTCCGTCCCAAATTATAATGCTTGTTCACTATTCACGGGGTCAAACTTTCTTCACTTTCTTTCTTTATTTTCGTTAACAATTTGAGAAAATAAAATACTATTGTCACTACTACTTTTGTAGATCTTTTGATGTAGTGTTTTAATATGTAATTTTTATTTTTTAACTAGATATCATTTGTCATATAAAATGATTTGAAAATAATTTCAGTCAAACATCGTAAATCGAAACAGCGTTATAAAATGAGACGGAAAGAGTAATTGTAAATCTGTAAGTGTAAAATAAATTAAATGTTTGTATGAATTATAATTTCTAAGAATGTAATTATTTAAGTAATGAAAAATGAATAGTACAAAAACAATTACATTTAATATTCTGACGGTTCAAAAATAGTGACGAGGTAAAGAATCGCAAAGAAATCCTCAAAAAAGCTTATAAATCGATCACCTAAAAAATTTAATTATAATATAAAATAAAAAAATAGAAATTTATTTATCGGAACTACCACTTCCCTCTGTGGTTGCATCCATATAATTTTGGATATCAAAGTTATACATTGACTCTTGAGTTCGACGTCTTGTCAAGAGTCGATCTCAGTTGCAAACAAGTGTCTCAAGCGATTCACTGCTAAGACAACTTCAGTAATCAGTAAAAATGTTGCCGCTAGAACTGAATTCTTGTTTCAGAATTACTGTTGAAATTGACATGGTTAAGACTTCTCTTGCTAGCATTCTGAGAGACGGGAATATGTGTTCATTCCGTTTCCATTCGAGAATGTCGAACTCGGTTTCGTTGTCTTCATCATAGTCGCAAGCATGAGACCCCTTGGTACACCACAAGTTCTTTGTGTGAACTTACACTTGTACCACCTGAAGAAATTGAAGTAGGGGTATATAGGTCAAAATTAACCCCCCCAAACGGCTTTATTAGCCGTTCTGCATGGTTGCCTGTCCTTTTGATGTTGCCATGACCCATCCCAGGAGGAAAGTTGGTGACAAAAAAATGGAACCGACACTTCCGGTACCGAAAATTAAGACTCGGAATCGAACTCGGGTCCACTGGCTTCGGTAATCGTGCCGGGTACCGTCTCCTCCATGTATGGCTCCGGTACGGTAGTGGAATCGCTAGTTACGGCGCTGGTGGCGGTCCTGTATGGGTGATGTGTCCACCCCTAGTTTAGGCATGTTTTTGTAATACTCTGTATTATTAACAGTATGTTTGGTTCAAGGAATTCAAAAGAGAAAAGAAAAGAAAATGAAGTGGAAAACAAGTTTTCTTGTTTGGTTAGAAAGGAAAAGTGGAAGGAAAAGAGAATGAGAAGGCAAAATGTACCAAGTGGGGGGAAAACCAAATTCCTCCCATTTTGGTGAGGAAAATGAGAGAAAACCATTTTCTTTTCTTTTCTTTTCCTTTAAAATTCCTTGAACCAAACATAGTGTAAGTGTTGAACAACTTGAATGTGAGTTCATCCGTTCCAAAATAAATTTTACACTTGCTTTGTCGCCTCTGTCTAAAATTTGTTGCTCCTAACTTTTCTCTCTAAATAAATTTCATTCTTAATTCTGCTCAAAAGAACAATTCCATTTACAAACTTTTTATTTTGTACTCTCTTTGTCACATTTTAAATTGGCTATTTTTGTTTATGATATTTGATTGTAATTTTTTTCAATGTAATTTATTTTAAAAACTACAACAAAAGCTCTACAAAATAAAAGATGATATGACTAATATGACTATATTATTTTATTAAATAAGTAACAAAAATAAGGAAAGAAAGTCAATCAACGGAGCATGGGTGGCCCAAAAGGTGTCAAGTTGGCCATGCACAACGAGTCCCCAAATTTATAAGGTCCAATATTGTTAGATGTTTATAATTCTAATTAATTGATATTTTTGAACTTAATATAAATTTATATTTTATAATTACAATTGTTATAAAAATGTTTATCAAAAATCAAATTTAATATTGATTCTAAAGCACAAGTACTCAAGTGTAAATGAAAATTGGAAAGGTGCCTCAATCGTCAATGTTCCTAAAACACTAAAAAGTACTCCGTAATTTATTGGATTGTACTCCGTAGGTGTTTGGTAAATTTGATTTTTTTTGATAAAAAAAAGTTGATTGAGTATCAAATCGTTCACTTCGGGGTACTACTTTTATTGATTTAATTCCACACTTTATATGCTCTTATTCGGATTTTTCTAATGCTCAAGTACTTTTCAAAACAAATAAAGTGTTGGGGATTATGCACGCAACACACACAAATATCTGCGAGAATCAAGAGAGAAACGGAACACAAACGACACACAAGAATTTATCGTGGTTCGGTTTCCCTAATCCACGGCTGCAACGGGAGGATTTTCTTATTTCACTTGTGGTGCCGATTACAAGTACAAGTATGCAATATATATAGGAAGAGCGCAACTAGGGTTACAACAAACGGGCCGGGCCTACAAATTAAGCCCAAGCCTCCACAAACCCAACATTCTCCCACTTGGAGGCTTGATAGTCATCAACTGCCATCCGCCGCGATTGCTTGTACATCGAGTAATCTTCCTCAGCTCTCCTGTTGCAGCGGCCCTCTCATCAGACAACTGAAAGGCCTGTTGAAGCTCTCCCAAGCTCCAACACATCAGTCACGGCAAAATCTGCCACTGACTCGTCCTCGGTCCCTACCGGCTCCCACTGCAGACGCACACTACCGGATCCTGGAACATCCTGAGAACAAACACTCTCCGTACTCAGCAAGAAATTTTTTGGAGATGTTCCAACAGCTGAAATACTGGTTCTCCTGACCCACTGTCTTCTAGGCAACTTGGCTGAAGCGCCTCTTGAGCTCCCACTGCCACAAATACCTCTTACTGGCCCCCTTGAACCTTTCCTCGCTCGTTCATCCTGAGTCTGACATGTGGCTCTAGGTTTCTCTCTTGCACAGACAACCTTATTCTGCCCACGAGACTCTGTGAACCGGACTTCGTTTTTCTTCTGAACTGGGACGGTCACTCCCTCAGATGGTAACTCGACCATATACAACGAACCTCTCTTCCTTCCACGGGCCATGACAAGATTTCCCTTCACGACCTTCCACTGCCCATCTCTGAACTTCACCTCGTGTCCCTGTTCGTCCAACTGCCTAACAGAAATCAAACTTTTCTTCAAGGCTGGAACAACTTTGACATCCTTCAAAGTCCAGAAACCGACTGGGGTCTTCAACACCATGTCACCCATGCCCG